AATTTAAGAAGGTGGCCGCTGATAGAAATATTTCATGTGATAACTGGGTGGATCAACATCAGATTCGTTGGAGTTTAGCACATGATAACTACAATGGTGGGGGTCGTTGGTCTATCCTGACATCCAACATGGCAGAAAGCGGCAATGGTATTTTCAAAGGTATTCGTGCACTTCCTATAGCTTCTCTTGTGCAGCATACCTATTGGCGATTGGTGGAGAAATTCGATAAGTATAGGTTGGAGACAGGAGCAGAAATTAGAAGTGGCGGTTCACAGTACTCCACCAAGTGCGAAGAGCTGATGAAGTACAGGTCACAAAAGGCAATTGGACATTCTGTGACAGCTCTTGATCGAGGTCAAGGCATCTATGTAGTTCAGACTCCTCCCAACAATTTCAACATGACAGGGTCAAACACACTCACAGTTCACTTTGACGATCAAAACCGGGCAGGATTTTGCACTTGTGGTAAATTTCAAGGAAATAAAATTCCTTGCTCTCATGCCATTGCAGCTTGCAACCGAACGGGGGCTAATGCGTATAGGTTTGTCAACAATGTCTACAAGGTGGAAACAGTTATGGCTTGTTATGGGACAAGTTTCGCACCTCTTGGTGAACCTAAGGGTTGGAAGAAGCATAATGGTCCTATTCTCCATCCTAATGTGCACATGATTAGGAAGCCGGGGAGGCCACGAGTTACAAGGATTCACAACGAGATGGACTGGCCAAGGGAGGGTGCATCACACCAAGTGTGCAGCAACTGTAACCAAGCGGGACATAATGCATCAACTTGCGGTGGCCAAGCTAGTGGGAGTGGGAGCAACCGAGGAGGGAGTGGTGGCCAACGAAGTATGAGAGGTGGTAGAAGAGGAAGTAGAGGTAATAGACGTGGCTGAGAGGTGGTAGAAGTTGTTGTATTTCTTTTGATTGGTATGTTGTTGTTTGGTATGTTGTTGTTATCTTTTGATTTACCATGTAAAAGTTGTTGTTTGTTTGAGATGTTGTTTGTTTGAGATGTTGTTGTTTGAGATGTTGTTTGTTTGAGATGTTGTTGTTTGAGATGTTATTGTTTGTTTATAGTACATAATAATAACAATCCAAAAATAATAGTCTAAATGAAGTACATAATAATAACAATCCAAAAATAATAGTATGAAGGAAGTACATAATAATAACAATCCAAAAATAAGGAAGTACATAATAATAATAGTCTCACTGACGATCACCACGACGACCACCACGACGACCACCACGCCGACCACCATGCATCCTCGGTGGCCTGTGCCCTCGTCTCCTCGTCTCGAGGTGCCAGATGTGGGAATCGCTCCCACGCCCAAAACTGCAGTAGGGCGACCCATCCACCAAGGTCACCGCTAAGAGAAGTGCCGGTATGCGTAATGTGCAAAGTCGACCTACCCATCTCACGGTACAGGTAGGATAAAACAGCAGCTCCCCAGGCAAACCGTCCAGCTCTCTCCCAATCCTCAATCAGAAGTAGGTACTGTAGGTGCACCGTACTTCCAGACCGATCCGAGAAAAGTACACCTCCAAGCAGAGATAGAGCATAAGCTCGTGCAAACTGCTCTATAACCTCCTGTGATGCATTCTCCGGCAGATGACTGAATTCAACCCTCAGCCAAACAATCCTAACAACAGCGACACTGCCTACAAGATCGGCCGGAACTCGTCCCAACAGTCTCAAACAGATCGCCGACCACTCCTCATCCGGTATATCAACTACGACGGCATCACCGTCGATCGCCAGACCGGACAGTGTAACAACGTCCTCTAACGTGATCTTGATCTCACCACACGGTAGATGGAAGGTCGACGTCTCGGGGCGCCACCGCTCTACGAGCGCAGTAATCAAACTCGCATCGGGGTTCATATGGACTAGGGGCACGACACTTAACAAGCCTGCCGCTTCGAGATATGGCCGATAAAGCTCATGGTAAGGTACTAAAATGGTCGTACCTCGAACATGGTACGATCGATCACCAGCCTATAGTGCACAAAACTTATATTAATTCATTTTCATTCGTAGTAATTTTGATTTCATCTAATAAATTCTAATCTGTCTTATCTAACATAAAATTATTGAAATTATACTAATTTCACCTAACAGTTCAGTTCACAACCTAAAATAATCTAATTAGCTAATTAACTTTACATGAATAATTATCAAATACTTATCTCGTTTGTCCAAACAGAGTCGATACGATGTTGGCCATGTCCCCAAAGAAGTGTCGGATCGACCGGACTTGGATCAATTGTCGCCGGCGGTAATCTCATCGAATAAGGATCCATAAGCCTAGGAACTGCAAAAACAAAGCAACAAAACATTAAAAAAAACACAAAATATTAAAAAAAAAATCAAGCTGCCGACGAGAGTCTCACCGCGCAAACGGCCGCCGACTCCACCACGACCTCGCCGACCTCTCCCTCTGCCTCTGCCGGCGGCGAGTGGTTCTTCGTCGGATGACATCTCGGGCGGTGGCGGTTCAGTCAAAGGCGGTGGCGCTTCTGTCAAAGGCGGCGGCGCTTCAATCTCGGACGGCGGCGCTCGAGTCAGCGGCGGCGGCGGCGCCGAGGTCTGGGGCGGTAGCAGTTGTGGCGGGAGGCAAGGCGACGCGTCTCTGGTTCGCGGGGTTGGGGGGGAGGAAGAAGAAGGGAGGAGGAGGATGTATGGTGTGGGAGGGGATAAGGTGGGAGGGGAGGGGATAAGGTGGGAGTGGGCCGTCCGAATTTAAAAAAAAAAAAAGAGTCCAGGGCGCTCCCGCCTGAGTCTCGGGCGCCAGCGCCTAGGACTAATTAAAAAAATTTGGCTGAGGCGGGGCCGCTTGAGATTGGGGCGCCAGCGCCCAGGACTGGGTAAAAAATCAGTCCCGCCTGAGTCTCAGGTGGTCCCGCCCCAGTCCTTACTAAAAAACACAATATTTGTGTCAATAGTTTTTAATTTGTAATATTAGTGGTAAATTAAAAAAAAACAATATTTGTGTCATTAATCCACCCCCGGTCAATCGAACCGCCCTGGCCCCAAGCAATTTTCGTGTAAACTGCGTGGTGGGGTGGTGGTTTATGTGAAAGAGTGGTATTTTTGGAACTTTTCGGAAATGTGTGGTATTTTTGAATTTTATTTCTTTTTATTGGTATGTCTGGGAAAATTCCAAACTTTTTGGTAAGTTTTGTATTGTGAAAATTTATTGTATTTTTTATGGTTGAATATTTATTTTATTAACCCTTCTATTTAGGATTGTGAGCCCTCCACTGTCCGAGGGCGCAGATCAGGTCAGTAACCATAAGTAACCCATCCACATTAGCATGACATCATCATCCCTCTCTCGCATGGAAAGACTTTTATCTTTTCCACTTTAATCTTTAACGGACGATTTCTCTCTCGTTTTAAGTCAAAATTTAATTTTTTGCAAAGATAAATCAGATTAATTATGCTCTTTAAAATGATATCCACTTTGATACATTTTTAGAACAAAAAAATTGAATCATTTTTTACCAATCAATACCATATGGTATGCTCCTATTTAATACCATATGGTAAGAAAGCGTACCATGATGGTATGAACATACGAAGACTGTAAGAAGGTTGAATAAATGATAATAGGATTGGGCTAATATCAAGTTGCCACGTGTTTGCCACGTCAGCAAAAGTCAATATCAAGTTGACCACCGTCTGGTCAACCGTTATATATAACAGTCAACAAAATCGTCAAGACATAAATGACACAAAACTATAATAGGTTGGGACACAAATGTCATATCGAATACTTTAGGACACAAATGACACAAATTTAATAGTTCGGGTTTCCCAATGGTATTAGCCCAATAGGATTATACTAACTGTCATTTACGACTTTCATCATTGTTTACCATAAGTTACCACCCCCCATACCAAAGTGGTAAAATATGGTAATTTTTTATCATGTATTTTTTTCACTCAGAATTTTGTAGATTCATGATGAACTCGTTCCTTCTCAGCAAATATTTTCGAAAACGACTTAAAAACGAAAAAGTTACCATATGGTATGTAGTTGGTAACGGGAGGTATGAAAAAAATTTCTCAAAATATATTGAAATTGATCTCATTTTCTACAGCAAAACGAACTCGTTCCATATGTGAAAAAAAAAATAAAATCCGAATTAGAACGAATAAGATAAGAGCTGATTGAAAAAACTAAAAAAAAAAATTTAATTTACAACTGTTGGATCTAGATTTTTTAGCGCAAAAATTTAGTTATTTATAGATGAGTATCCCAACCCACCTTCCGACCAATCCAAACAACAGCCACATTTCGCGGCCAAAGTTAATCTGCTAACTTGAAGATTCGTTAGCAGATACTAACTGATATCCAAAATACATGAATTAATATCTAAGTACTAAAGTATCTAGAGAGCACAGACTAGTATTCAAAGTTTGCTAACTGATATCCACCATGAATCAACTATTATCCCAAATTCACAAACTAATATCTAGACAACACAGAATAGTATCCAAACAGCACATAATTAGTATTCATATAACACATAAGAGTATCCAAATTGAATACTAGTTGGTTGATCGTGGATATTAGTTGGTATCTGCTATCTGGATACTAGTTTGTCATGTTTTGAATACTAGTCTGTGTTATCTAGATACTTAACAGACTTGGATATTAGTTCATAATTTTATATATTAGTTAGTATATACTAACGAATCTTCAAATTAGTATAATAACTAGACTGCATTTCGCGGTTTGAGTGGGAACTGGGAAGCGAACCAAAGTGTTGGGGGAAGGGAAAACAAAAAACGCCCTGAAGAAAAGAATGACTGGTCGGGGTGGGAACTTTGACCAGACCAACCAGAAAGAAAAAAAGAAAGAAGGAAAATAAAAAAAAAACTCTAGAGAGAGAGAGAGACAGGAGGAGGCGGGGGAGGGGAGAGAGAGAAAGGAATTGAAAATTTCTCATTCAAAAAGCCTATCCAACTCAAAAACAGATGAGAGACGAGACGAGACGGGGGATTAAAAAATAGGAAATGCTAAATAAAAGCAGAGAGAATCGAGATTGTTGTTTGTTGAAAGTAATTTCAGGCAGCAGAGAGGGAGAGGTTAGTTGTTGGTTCCTCGTTTGTTGGTGGTGGTGAAACGCCCGAAGCTGGGAGCCTGAGAAATTTGCCAAGCTCCACCATATTGGACGTTTTTAGGGATTTGCCCTTGTCCGCCTGCGTTCTCCCGAAAGCTTCCCTCCTTCTCTGGCCTTTCCCCTCTCCTCTCTCTCGCGCTGCTCGGTTCAAACGCGGAGGAGAGAGGAGGCTTCCCATTTCCCACTCCCCCATTTCGGTTGTTCTTGTTGTTGTTGTTTCTCTATAATATTCATTGGGGATCGAAGAGGGGAATCTTATTTTTGTGCGTTAGGGTTTTTAGCATCTCTGCTGGGGGGAAAAGGAGTGAATTGTGAGGAAAAGAACAGGGGAAGCAACCATGAATGTGATGCGTCGTTTGAAGAGCATTGCCTCTGGTCGTACCTCAGTCTCCTCTGACCCTGTGAGTCCCATTTCTCTTCTTTTGCTTCTGGGGCGCGCGCCAAATGTTGGATCCTTTACCTTAGCGTTTGGTCTCCTTTTTATTATTCTGCTTGAGATTGGACCTGTAATTAAATGGAGTTCGATCAGAGTTCTCTAGTTCTTTTCCTTCTGCACCTTGATTCAATGATCTGGTATATGAGTCTTGTCGTGTGAGTCCATTTCTCATTCTTTTAACGGGTTTCATTTCCAACTGAATGCTTAGAGTTCGCAATATCGGTGCGTAATTCTCCATTCCAGCTTTAATCAGCAACAATAATGCTTTCATTTTCTCTACAAAAGACGGGTTTTATTCTGTGAGCAGGGAGCGGTTCTAATATTTTGATTTGGATGATACAGGGCGGGGATCCTGGGACAAAGAGGGCAAAGGTGGACCAAGATATAGAGCAGAAGAACCATAATGAGGCGCATTTAGCTGAAAGGAATGCCACTGGCCATGCTGCTTCAACATCTCTTAATTTTCCCATTGCTACATCTCACCCATCTTCCAAGCCCAAAAAAGAAAACACTGGATATGAACAGCTTCCCAATGAAATGCACCAAATGAGGATCCGAGATGATAAGGCCGCCAATGCCGACGAGAAGGTATCTAGTTCAATACGGCCATCATGCCTCCTTCCAAACCCATATCTTCAGCACCATATTTTTTATTCCTGGTATTTATAATGCCTTGCAATAGCAATAACCATATTCTCTTCGTTTTCTTATGCATGATTCAGGAAATGGGGGCTACTGTTGTGAGTGGTAAGGGAACAGAAACTGGTCAGATAATTACAACCACAGTTGGTGGCCGCAATGGACAGCCAAAGCAGGTTACAATTGCACTCTGCTATTTGAATATTTTGGTTGATTTGTATTCTATTGAGAATAGTATCAACGGCTGGGACCTTTCCAGTTGATTACTGCGTTTCTCTATATCTTTATGTCAACAGACAATTTCATACATGGCAGAACGTGTTGTTGGTACTGGCTCTTTCGGTGTGGTTTATCAGGTATGTGTCCAAGCAGTAAACCAAGGAGTTGTTTTCTTGATCACTTATCATCCACCTTTTTCTAATTCCTTGTGTTTTATATAACTCTTGTAAAACAGGCCAAATGCCTTGAAACTGGCGAAGCAGTTGCTATAAAGAAGGTGCTTCAAGACAAGAGATACAAGAACAGAGAGCTTCAGATCATGCGCCTTCTCGAGCATCCCAACGTTGTACAGCTCAAGCATTGTTTCTTTTCAACGACTGATAAAGAAGAAGTATACCTTAATCTTGTTTTGGAGTATATAGCTGAGACTGTCCACCGAGTCTCGAGGCACTACAACAGAATGAACCATCAACACATGCCTATCATATATGTGCAACTTTACACTTATCAGGTAGGGATTTGAGATTCTGATCTTGGCTCATTTTTGTTTCCCAGTTTGACTGGCTACTGGCAATTTTTCATCACTGACAGGAACTTAAGTCTAATTAGGTCATTCTGCGACTCACTTTTGTAGATATGCCGTGCTCTAAATTATTTACATAATGTTGTCGGAGTATGCCATCGTGACATTAAGCCTCAGAATCTGTTGGTTAGGGCCTTTCACTTACTTTCCCCCTTGTAAATTGTACTAGTTATTGATAGTGTAGTCTTGGTACTCAATTTTCTGCTGTTCTGATTCCTAGGTCAATCCCCATACTCATCAACTGAAGATATGCGACTTTGGTAGTGCGAAGAAGCTGGTATGTCATCTGTGCACCCCTTCGTCCTACCCCTTGTCTCATTCTTTCCTTAGAAGATATTTGAATTACTCTAGAATTCTCATTTGGTTTTTGTATCTCTAGGTCCCGGGTGAACCCAACATATCCTATATATGCTCCAGGTATTATAGGGCTCCCGAGCTTATATTTGGGGCTACTGAGTATACAACTGCCATTGACATGTGGTCTGCTGGATGTGTATTGGCTGAGCTTCTCCTCGGACAGGTTTGTCCTTGCTGTCACCCATCTCTTCCAGTCAGTTAATGCCAACTTGGTTTTGTCGATGCTAATTGGGGTTGGCCTTCTTCCTTCCTGAAGCCAATGTTTCCTGGAGAAAGTGGCGTCGATCAGTTGGTGGAGATTATTAAGGTGTGTTAATACATATATGTTTAACTACATGAGTCCATGAGCTATCTCGTGTTTGAAGTTGTGCTTTTCTCTAATCGGCTGCTGGGAATCAGGTTTTGGGGACACCAACCAGGGAGGAAATTAAGTGCATGAACCCAAATTATACAGAATTCAAGTTCCCGCAGATTAAAGCTCACCCATGGCACAAGGTCAGCCAACAATCTCATTCTTCATTCTTTTTTTACTGGTATCCCTGTGCGTTTTTTAATTATAATGATTATTTGATTGTTAAACGATGTAAATTTCAGATCTTTCACAAGAGAATGCCCGATGAAGCGGTGGATCTTGTGGCGAGGCTGCTTCAGTACTCGCCAAATCTACGATTTACTGCTGTAAGTATATTTAATTAAGAGCAACTAAGAACACATTTTTTAACATTATATATGTTACATATTTGTGTGTGAAATCACCATACCCGTGTTTAATTTGGTGTGGGGTTTCTTTCAGTTGGAAGCCTGTGCACACCCTTTCTTCGACGATTTGAGAGACCCAAGTGCATGCTTGCCTAACGGTAGAGCTCTACCTCCGTTGTTCAATTTTACAGCTCAAGGTAAGTTGAAATTTTGGCGACAGGTATATAGTGTTATATTCCCCCAAGCATTCAAGTCTTCAGAATCTCATCGCAAAGAACAAAATGTTCCACCCTGCAGAATTGGCGGATGCCTCAACTGAACTTCGTCAACGTCTCATCCCGGAGCATGCAAGGAAAGACTAATGAATGGCATGCTAAACAGAGAAGGCGGCATAACTAGTCTTAAGAAATTCTTTTGTGTCTTTCCATCACGCAGATAATTTGATCATAACTGGTCAGGTTACGATAGAAGGAAGTTGAGGTGACAGGAGGATGGAGAAGCTGATGAGTATTTGACAGGGTTTGTTGTTTTTTTTTTTTTTTCTTTGATGGTGGCTGTAAATTGAGCTAACTACTACCGGGGAGATGCTTGATTGACTGTGCACCAGATGTTCCCACCGGCCTTGAATTGATCAAATTATTTTAGGAAAATTGTGTAATGCGTTAATGCCTCATTTTCACCAATTTTCTTTTTGAAATTTTATGATGATATATGGTTTATGGGTATATTTCATAAGACCAAACTAAATTGATCTTGTTAGATGGATTAGGGTTTGTTGCCTGATGTACACTTTTTTTTCCGTATTATCGGTGTTGCAATGATAGTTCAGATTGTTCCAGGAAATTAGGTTCCTTCTTTCATTACAGCTTGTGTCATTCTCAATGACGGCATTCTTGTGTCATTCTCAATGTCTGCATTTCCTTCTTTTTCTGTGATTTGCTCAAACTGCGGTCTGTGTAAGGATCGTGAATGGGGAATCTGGCGAATTTGGTCTGTGTAAGGATCGTGAATGGGGAATCTGGCGAATTTGGGCGAAAGGAAGAAGAGGAGAGTTTCACTTTTATTACTAATTTGATAAAGTAGGTACAGATAGTTGTTTGACAAAAGATGCCGAATCGTAAAACATCTCTCCTATTTATACTTGTGTCTTTCTGTACTCGTCACTTGTCCAGCTGTCTCCCAATCTGTTACAAACCCTTCCCCTTCAGAAACAGCTTGTCCTCAAGCTGGAAAGGCGGGAAACTACCTTTTGAAAGTGACCAAATCCTCCAAGGTAGCCTCTTCGACAGCTTGATGAACCCAACGAACTAACACCTGCATCACTGCTTGATTGTCCTGATTAATGAACCGCCGTGCTAAAATTAGTGCTGGCTCCAACTTCGGTGCTCCACTTTCATCTGGAACAGGGAGATGTAGAGCAGCTGGTGGAACAATTGATTTACATAGTTTCAGCGGGAAAACATGGAAAACAGGGTGAATTTTGGAGTGAACTGGCAAGGCCAATATATAAGCCACATCTCCGATCCTCTCCACAACTTGATAAGGCCCAAAATACCGAGCTCCTAGCTTATTTCGTTGACGTCCCACCACTGAACCCTGCCGATATGGCTCAAGACGCAGATAAACCCAATCATTGATATGCAGAACCCGCTTTGTACGTCTCCTATCAACATACTGGTTCTGCCTCTTTTGCGCCTTTGTAATACTCTCAGTAAGGAATTGTACCAGTTGATGCTGCTTCCTGACCATGTCCTCCACTGCCCCCACAGGAGTAACTGTAGAAGGAGCTAGACCAAAGTGCGAAGGGGGAAAACCATAGAGCGCTTCAAATGGTGTCATCTACAAATTGAGATGGTAGTGAGTGTTGTAGCACCACTCAGCCAGTGTTAACCAATCCGCCCAATCTTGCGGTCTTTGAAAGGTCATACAACGGAGATAGTCTTCCAAGCAGCGATTTACCCTTTCCGTTTGGCCGTCTGTTTGAGGGTGATAAGTAGTCGAGTAGTGAATATTGGTACCCTGCAGCATGAAAAACTTAGTCCAGAATTGACTAGTGAAAGTAGCATCCCTGTCACAAACTATGGTGGAGGGCATGCCATGATACTTGAACACGCCATCAAAGAAAACCAGTGCGACGTCTGCTGCGGAATATGGATGTTTAAGACTGAAAAAATGAGCAACTTTTGTGAAACGATCTACCACTACCAGCAGAACCAGCTTACCACTGGAAGTAGGTAAGCCTTCAACAAAGTTCATACTTATATCCTTCCAAGCTCGAGTAGGAATGGGAAGAGGCTGAAGTAGCCTAGGTGAAGCCAATGTTTTTGCTTTACTAAGCTGGCATACATCACAACGAGAGATCCAAGATACTACTGTTGCCTTCATACTCTTCCAAAAGAAATGTGCCATAGAGTCGTTGATAAGTGATCTGCACTCCTGAATGGCCTCCCACTGGCGACGAATGGAACAAGTGAATTAATTTGGAACGCATTGAACCCGAGCACCCCACCACTATGGTCCCCTTATAATGTAGGATACCAGAAGAATAGGACCACAGAGAAGGGCCATTGGAATTGACATCAGCAGCAGCTATCAAATCTGCAATCTCAGTATCGCCAGCATAAGTCTCTTCTACTTCCACCAACCATTCTGGTAATACCGTTGTAAGAGCACTGCAAGTTCCCTCATCCTTGTCTTCCTCGAAAATCCGTGACAAAGCATCAGCAGCGCCATTGAATCTCCCCTTCCTGCTCTTGATTTGAAAGTCGAAACCCATAAGCTTCATCAACCCTTTCTTCTGAATTGTAGTGTGAACCTTCTAACCCAACAAGAACTTCAAACTCTCATGGTCAGTGACAATCATAAAGGGACGCCCTTCCAAGTAGTCGCGTTAGTGATCGACAGCCAACAAAACGGCTAAGTATTCCTTTTCGTAGGTGCCGAGTCCTTGATTCCTCGCACTCAAAGACTTACTAAAATAAGCCAAAGGATGCCCTTCTTGAGACAGAAAAACGCCCACTCCAGTACCTGAGGCATCTGTTTTGAGTGTTAATGGATTCAAGAATTCAGGCAACACCAGTACAGGAGCTTGACAAGTAGCATTCTTAAGATCAACAACAGCTTGTTCAGCCGCTGAATTCCATTGAAAACCATTCTTCTGGAGGAGATCAGTTAAGGGTCAACTTATATTCCCATAGTTCTTGACAAACCTGCGGTAATACCCTGTTAAACCCAAGAACCCCCTCAGTTGTTTAACTGTCTAAGGCCTTGGCCAAGTCTTCATAGCAGAAAACTTGCTCGGATTTGTGGAGACTCCTTCACGACCAATTATATGGCCCAAATACTCAACCTGAAACTGCCCAAAAGAACATTTGAACTCTTTAGCGAACAACTTGTGATCTCGCAGCAGTTGTAGAGCAATGCTCAGGTGATGCAAATGATCTTCTTCTGTCTTGCTATATACCAAAATATCATCAAAGAAGACTAAGATGAACTGACGCAAATGAGGGTCAAACACATGTGCCATAAGGGCTTGAAATGATGTAGGAGCATTTGTGAGCCCAAAGGGCATAACCCTGAACTCATAATGGCCCTGGTGAGTTCTAAAAGTCGTTTTATACTGATCAGAGGGATGCATTCGTATTTGGTGATATCCTGCCCTGAGATCCAACTTAGAAAAGATGACGAAACCATGTAACTTGTCCAAAAGATCTTCAATATGTGGGATGGGGAATTTATCTTTGATAGTAGTTGCATTCAACTCTCGGTAGTCAACACAGAACCTCCAAGATCCTTCTTTTTTACCAATGAGCAAGACTGGGGAGGCATATGGGTTGTGGGGCTAGGCTGAATAAATCATGATTGAAGCATTTTAGCAACCAGCTTGTCAGCTACAGCCTTCTGATGGTGGGAAAACGGTAAGGGAGGATATTAATGGGTTTGGCATTTGTAAGTGGAGGAATAGTGTGATCAAAAGCCCTGGTTGGAGGAAGAGAAGTGGGAGTGGCAAAAACATCTAAATAGGTGGCTAATAAGAGTTTCAAGAAGTCTGGAGTGGAACTAGGGGTTGGAGTAGCTTCAATGGCAAATACAACACCTGTCAAATGCGAATAAGGCTTCTTGAGGAGCTGCTGGAAATGACGCCCATACAACATCTTACACTGCCCCTCTTTAGATAAACCCTGAAGTTTCAATGTGCCCCCTTCCACTCAAACGAAATATGTTCTCTGCTTAAGGTCCATTTTGAAAGCACTAATGGTTTCCAACCAATCCCACCTTAATACCAGATCATGAGAAGGCAAATCAAAAGTTTGTACATCAAACCCAAACTCTTGCCCCTGCATTTTCCAAATGAAACCCCTACAAACTGAGTTGCTAATCAAGGTATGACCATTGGCTACTTTAACCCGCACAGGAGCAATACACTCAGTTTGGCAATTCAATTCTTCAGCCCTAATCGCATTCAAGAATGTATGCGAACTACCAGTGTCAATCAGGACAGTTACCTCGTTGTGGCTGGCAATAGCTGGAATGAGAAGGAAATTACCCGCGAATCCTGACCCCATAGTCTGCAGAGAAACTTCAAGCTCTGCATCATGAAAATCTTTTTCAATTCCCTCCTCATTACCCAATGAAGGAGATTCCTCAGCCTACATAACATGGAGTTGCTTCTTCCTGGCACATACATGGCCATGGAAGTATTTATCTCCGCATTTATAACAAAGGCCCTGCCCTCGAGGAACAAGGGGACGCTCGAAGAAAGAAAAAGAAGGAGACTGGGACTGAAGCTTTGCGGAAACCAGAGCAGAAGCACCCGTCCAGCGAGTGGACAAAGATGAAGACGCTTTGGACTTATTTTTGCGAGATTCAATGGCCGCCTCCTCCAGACGCGCTTGGTAGAACGCACAAGCCACCGTAGGCGGATTCAACACCTGCACCCGGGGTTGAATCTCGTCATCCAATCCCCCCAAGAAAATGAAGATGAAGTAATGCTCGTTCAACTCCGGATTAAGAAGAAGCATCCTCGAGCGTAATTCTTCTAACTCTTCTTGATAGCGAGAAATAAAGCTCGTTTGACGAAGGTGATTGAAAGAGGCAACCACGTTCATCTGCTCCTGCTTATCAAATCGATGGAACAATTCGTCGACGAAGTGCCCCCAAATCAGTGGAAAACGCCAGAAATACCATCCTTCGAACCACGTATAAGCCCGACCTTCCAAATAATAGGAGACTAAGTCCACCTTGTGTTCTTCGGGAACCGAGTAGAGCTGGAACAACTTGATGCATTTTCTAACCCCAGCATGTGGATCGGTGTCGGAGAAGTAAGAGAACTCGAGACGAGGGTAATGATCAAGAATCTACGAATGGCGTTGCTGGTGACGAAAATGCTGAGGCTCGTCGAAGGTACCCGCATCGGCGCGAGGCGGTGACTGAACCGATGACTTCTCCCACCTGCAAGTGATGGAAGCCGCCAATGCATTGATATTGTCTTTTGTTGACGCAGCCAACGCAGAAATAGCTTCCTTTAGATCCTGATGCTGCGTATTGATCTGCACACGTACCTCCGCCATCTGAGTTTCCAAATCAACAATCCGAGAAGTGTGCAACGCCATTGCCAGAGTTCATGTCTCTGATACCACTTGTAAGGATAGTGAATGGGGAATCTGGTGAATTTGGGAGAAAGGAAGAAGAAGAGGGTAAGGATGGAGCAGAGGAGAGTTTCACTTTTATTACTAACTAACTAATTTGGTAAAGTAGGTACAGATAGTTGTTTGACAAAAGATGTCCAATCGTAAAACGTCTCTCCTATTTATACTTGTGTCTTTCTGTACACGTCACTTGTCCAGCTATCTCCCAATTAGTTACAGTCTGTCATTTATTCCTTTCATTTGCCGTTCTCGTTGACGAGGTAGCAAAGTAGTCGTGTCTGTCGGTGCAATGCGATGGCTCGATCCCCCTTGTTTAATGGCCCAAACTGAAAATTTTACTCAATTTACATATCTATGTACCATGGTCAAATCCCAGCTGCACGAATGAAAATATGGGTTGTATATGTATAACACTTATGCAATACCATTCTAGGCAACACCTTCACAAAAGTTTACTAGTTGTCCGCTTGCCCGATAGGGAGCGGATCCAGTCAATAACCTTGTGGTCAATAACTATGCATAACTCAATTAGAATATGTTTCAAAAAAAAAAACTCAATTAGAATCCGTCACATCAGCGCCCCTTCTCTCTCCTGAAAAACAATTAATTTTACCCCTTAATCATTAACGAACAATTTCACACTCTTTTTAAGTCAAAATTTAATATTTTTTGCACAGTTAGATCAGATTGATTGTGCTTTTCAAAATAATATCCACTTTGATATATTTTTGGAACAAAAAAATTCCGCAATTTTTTACCAGTCTATACCATATGGTATTGATTGATATTGAAATAAGAGCATACATATGGTATGAAAAACGTGCCATGGTGGTATGAACAAACCAAGACTGTAGGATGGTCGAATAAATGATAGTAGAATTATAATAACTGTCATTTGCGACTTTAACATTGTGTACCACAAGACACCACCCCGTACCAGGGTGGTATTGTGTGATATTTTTTGGTCTTGTATTTTTTTCACGAAAACATTTGTAGATCCAATAGATCATGATGAACTCGTTCCTTTAGTGCAAATACTTTTAAAACCGAATTAAATATGAAGAAGATACCATATATTATGCAGTTAATACCGAGAGGCAAGAATTTTTTTCTCAAAAAATATTGAAAATGGATCTCATTTTGTAGAGCACAACAAACTCGTTCCATCTGTGCAAAAAAAAATTTGAAATCCGAGTTAAATCGAAGAAGATACGAGTCGATTAAGAAAACAAGCCAAAATAAAAATGTTTTTAATTCTCAACCCTTAGATCTGGATTTTATGAATAAAGGGTACATATTTAGTTACTGATGTGTGCATAACTCATGGTTATGCACTGTATCTTGAGCCCGCCCGATGGGCGGCAAGTGTCATCTATTTGTACTTTTCCTTCTATTTCTATTATTTTCTTTCAATGGTATTAGATTCCTACTTCTCATATTTTATGGTTAATACCATATTTTTGGCCGAACTATACCCATATAATCAACTTTGGCCAATAGTTTTAAAAATTGCTATTCTGGCCTCAACTATACACCATATAGACTAATTTGGCCCGACGCGTGAATTTCCGTCAAATTAGACGGTCAACAAGCGATAATGAATCAGCATGTAGTGCTAACGTGCATGCCATGTAGATAGCATAAATTAATAAAAATTAATTATTTAATAAAATCAACAAAATCCTCCTTTCTCTCATCGCTGAACCCTTCTCGGAGATGCCGCTGCTGAATAATCAAATTCACCATCTAAGAATTGCAAGCCATGGCTTCATTGAATATCGATTAAACTCGAGGTTGCGATCGTTGTACTGCCAAAACGCCATCACGTGTGCTTGCTCAAACGGCATGAAAGATGGAGAAGAAGCAGGTTGGGCCGTTTTGGGTGGCTTGATGTTGAGCGCGGAAACAATTTTTTTTTTTTATTACCCTGGAACATCAGCCCCATTTGGCACTTTGTGACAGCGGTCCTACTAAATTTGGGGGCCACCTGCAATCAAATTCGACACCAACGCGGCTTCGTCCTCAGCAGCCTTGCAACTTCCAAACCTTCACTATCGCGACAGCTTTACCGTTAGGCTATCTTACCTTTTGGTGAGCGCGCAAACAAGTTGGGAGTGGGTGATGAGGAAAATGGAATGCAATTACAGAGTAGAAAGAAAATAGGGTAATGATCTCTGGCTCCCTTATCCTCATGCTTCACTGTCGATCCTGAGTTGGTGTTGGTCCAAGATCGCGTTCCTGTAGGTTTGTGAGATCCTGAATTGGACTCAGATCTGTGCGGGAAATGCTTCGCCCAATATTGTGCTTCTTCGAATCCAATTGGTGACGTGTTGATCGCCATTGCTTAATTTTGAAATTCTGAGATCGAGAAGAGAGAGAGTGGGAGATGCAGAGTTTTTTTCGGTTTTTGTTCTTGAGGAATTGAGAGAGGAGAAGTAATTCAAAGTCTAAAGATAGAGAAGAAGCTGAAATTGGGAATCAAATCTAAGAGAGATAGAAAACGTAGGCTTCAAGTTGGAGTAACGAAAAATCCGATCAAAATCTTATCCGAAGGCTTCAAATTTTTGTTATTAATTTTTATGGTTGCTATTTTATTTTATTATATTATGAAAATGAGATAATGAAAATAATTAATTTTGATTTTTTTATTTATTTGGGCGCTGACGAGGCAGTGAGCTGGACCGTTGACCGTTAGTGAATGGTGTTGACCGTCAAAATTAACAGTCAAAACACGCGTTCGGCCAAACTAGTCTATATGATGTATAGTTGAGGTCAAAACACGCGTTCGGCCAAACTAGTTCGGGCCAAAATGAGGTATTAACGCTATTTATTATTGTTATGTATTATCCATGTTTCATATAATATGAGGGGCGGTACATTTAATCCAGGTTTTAGTCATGATCAACAATAATGTTAACAACGTTGTAACTTCATCAACACTTGAAAAATAGTATTCATGACCATCGGATCCTTGATTGATCAACAATTTTCAACTTCATAAGTTGTACATGGTTGAAGTTAGCGTACATCACCTTACCGTACTCCTATCGAGTTTTGCTATCTAGATCATGAATTAACGGAGTTTGGAACATGATAATATACATAGACTATAATGGTGAACGCCAGTCTCTAATTCTCTAATCCAAATTGTACGATTCATTTAATGCAAAAATAATAACTAGTGATTCTTATTTGTCATAATATATTAAAGTATAACTAATAGGTGTGAAAGAAGGGGTAAATTTACACCTTGAGTGCACGTGTGCCTTTGTCACCATTATATTAAAGTACAACCAAACTATTCTGCTATGCTTTTATATTACTTTCAATATTTTATAAATGATATCAAAACAAAATGTTAGTTATAGAGACACTTTGTCTTCGCTTCACATTATCATCCAATATTAAATGTGTGACTGACTGTAACCGAAATTGTGTGATAACTTAATACAAACATAAAGGTGCCATGTTGTGCGATCAGTACAGTAGATGAATTTATAGGACATCGGTCAGGAAATGATCTCGTGTTGGTTTTATAGGACACCGGTCTAGGTACGTCTCGTGCTGGTATACAGGACATCGTTCAGTGTATGATCCTGCAATGGATTTATAGGACACCGATTTAGGTGTGATCCACGGTGGTATACAATCTACTGTACTACCAAGGGAATTTATAACTTGGCAAATTAAGAAGTAAAAAGCACTGCATCAACATAACCATTCATGATGTGATATACAAAATGTGCATGTCGATGATGATGGTTATGTGATGGTTTTCTATGGTGTTTTATATAATAATTTACCATGAGATGATGTGATGTTTTCCTATGTTGGGACGGTGTTGCATGGTAATGCTAATATGTTGTGATACTTGATGCATATATGTTTATACAGTGAGTCATCAAGAAACTAGGGGATGGTCCTTATGTTGTCAATGTATGAATTCTTTGAATTTGAGATGATGAAAGTGACATGGCATGTGGTGATGAATAGATGTTTATTTGACTGAATGAGATATACCATATCAGGTGTATCTTGATAATTAAGTTAAGCCAGTAAGGGCTGAGAGGTGGGTGAGGTAAAACTGAATACTCCACGTTCTGCCATGGTCACTGGGAGGGATAATAAGTCCTTTCGAGCTCTATTCTTAAGGGTAACGGATTTAACGATTAATTAGATCATTATCTTATGAGTCGGGTTATTTGCCGAGTACAACTGGTTACTAAAAATAGTACTATTAATATATGTATTAGGGTGTATCTTAAGATTGGTTTGGAAATCTTACTTAATTTAGGTGCTATGCATCTGAACATGATTCAAAGTTGCACATCTACACTCATGTAGGAAAAAGAAGAAACTTATGTAAAAAAAAAAGCAAGGAATTACAATTACATTGGGGAAAAAGTAAGCACGGAAGCAAATTTTATACGAAAAATGACAATATAAAGAAATTGGAATAGCATAAAAGGAAAGATAAGGATGTCATTTTATTATGCGAGAAATGTCAACTAATGATGACAAATGCATATATGTGTATATACACTACTTTTCTTGTAACTTCTTTTACCAATTGGTCACCATATAACCATAATTCTACTTTGAAAAATATACAATTTTTTTTGTGACCATTGGATATATTCTTAAATACATTAAATTGTCGTGTATTATTGTAGCATATAACTGAACTATGTTTATATATTTCACTAATCTTAACGTATAGGAACATGTGAATAAGTAATTATAACTATGTTTTTAACTTAGCAAATCATCATTTTTACTTTATGCTATTATCTCTTAATAATCTAGTAAGCACATAACTGTATTGGTTCGAATAAGAGTGTATTAGTTCGAATATTTATAGTAGCTCTTTTCTAACAAATTGCAGCATAATTGTATTGGTTCACATATTTATAGTAGTTCGTATAGACAAAATGTTAAATTCTTCGTGTTCTAGAATACGAAAG